TCTTTTTTTTTTTTTTTTTTGGTAGAGATGGGGGTCTCACTATGTTGTCCTGCCTCGTCTTTAACTTCTGGCCTCAAGAGAGTGCAGGCAATTCTCACCTTGGTCTCCCAAAGTGCTGGGATTACAGCCATGAGCTACTGCGCCCAGTCTAAGGAAGCTGCTTTCAATTTTTTTTTTAATTTTAATTTTTTGAGTTGGAGTCTCACTCTGTTGCCCGGGCTGGAGTGCAGTGGCATGCTTGCAGACACCGTAGCCTTGACCTGCTGGGCTCAGGGGATCCTTTCGCCTCAGCCTTCCAAGTAGCTGGAACTACAAGTGTGCGCCATCATGCCCGCTAATTTTTTTGATTTCTTGTAGTGAAGAAGTCTCACCAAGTCGCCCAGACTGGTCTCTAACCGGCGGACTCAGGCAATCCTCTCGCCTCAGCCTCCCAAAGTGCTGGGATTGCAGGCCAAACCAGGCACTCAGCCTCTTTTTCCTCTTTTAAAATAATAATGCCCAACCTGGTCTGATTTTTGAAATGTAAATTTAAGAACTCATTCATGCAAGTTGGGGAACTGGCAGCCTAAAGTTTTTGTAGGGCTGGCTGGCAGGGTAGAAATCCAGGTCAGAGGTGATGCTGTGACTCAGATCAACAAGGTGGGCCGGCAGGTTGACTTAAAGCAAAAGGAATTCTTTAAAATTGAAAACAAGAGCAGGATCCGGTGGCTTATGCCTGTAATCCAAGCGCTTTGGGAGGCCGAGGCAAGAGAATTGCCTGAGCCCAGCGGGTAGAGACCAGCCTAGGCAACTTGGGGAATCTTCATCTCTACAATAAATCAAAAAATTAGCAGGCATGATGGCACACACTTGTTGTTCCAGCTACTTGAAAGGCTAAGGCGAAAGAATCGCCTGAGCCCAGCAGGTCAAGTCTGCGGTGTCTGCGAGCATGCCACTGCACTCCAGCCTGGGCAACAGAGTGAGACTCCAACTCAAAAAATAAAAATTTATAAAAAATTGAAGCTGGGTTTGGTGGCTCAGCCTGTAATCCCGCGCCTTTGGGAGGCTGAGGTAAATGGATTGCCTGAGCCCGCGGGTTCGAGACCCTCCCGGGCAGCGAGACCTCATCTCTACAATAAATCAAGAAAAATCAGTCGCGCGTGGTGGCGCAGGCCTGTGATTCCGGCTACTTGGTAGGCTCAGAAGGATTGCCTGAGCCCAGCAGGTTGAGACTGCAGTGGCCGTGAGCACACTACTGCCCTCCAGCCTGTGGGACAGTGAGACATTGACTCAAAAAAAAACAAAACAAAACCAGGTTCCTATGATGCCTTCCTCAGACACGGGCAGTGTATTAAGCAATACTTATTTTCTTTAAAGTCTTGTATGCTATTCAGAGAAAATTGTTTTCTTGCCTCTAGGAAAATCCAGAAGTATGGTTCACACGACCTCTTTCACTCTCTTTACTGAAAATTTTGGCCCTGGAAACTGCCTACCTGCTACCCCTTCGCTTGGCACTTCTGGATGAGATGATGTCTGACCTAACTACCCTGGTGGATGGGTACCTAAATGCATATCGAGAAGGGTCTGCAGACCGGCTTGGAGGCATTGAGGTAGGGGCAGCTTTCCATGGATGTCTTCAGGACTTCCTTTCTGCCTTTCCCACAGCAGGCACAGTGATAGCTTCTCTTCATAGCTGCAGCAACATTTATGGGACAGACTTGATGATAAGTATTCTTGAATGGGTTGCAGCTTGGTCTTGACCCATCCCCTAGAGTACCTTTTCACACTAATATGTTTCCAAATATTTCTGACAAAGAATGGGTAAATTTAATATTTTCTTATTTATTTATTTTAGAGACAGGATCTCACTCTGTCACCCAGGCTGGAGTGCAATGGTATGATCACAGCTCACTGCAGCCTTGAATCCTGGGCTCAAGCAATCCTCCCACCTCAGCCTTCCAAGTAGCTAGGACTGTGGGTGTATACCACCATGCCTGAGTTATTTATTCTCATTTTTATTTTTTTAGAGATGAAGTCTCACCAAGTTGCCCAGGCTGGTCTCGAACCCCTGAGGTCAGATAATTCTCTTGCCTCAGTCTCCCAAAGTGCTGGGATTACAGGCTTAAGACACTATGCCCAGCCGGGCTCGGTGACTCAACCTGTAATCCCACGCCTTTGGGAGGCTGAGGTGAGGGGATTGCCTGAGCCTGCGGGTTCG